TGACGAAAACGACTGGGGGCCTAGGCTCCACGCTGGGGCAGTGGCAGCGATGCCAACAGTGGGAAAAATCGGCAGCGATGCCAACAGTGGGAAAAATCGGCAGCGCAGATTTTTTGACGAACATGGGCTGGACGCTGGGCTGTCCAGGCCAGGCAGGAAAAAATCGTCAAGGGGATGCGCTGACGAAGCAGGGGCTGTTCAGACACAGCGGGCAGTGCTGGAATCGGCAGCGCCGACGAAATCGGCGAAGTCGGCAGAATCGGCGGCCGGTGCTGACGATGAGTCCGGACGATTTATAGTCCTAGGCTTGACGAAAACGACTGGGGGCCTAGGCTCACGCTGGGGCAGTGGCAGCGATGCCAACAGTGGGAAAATCGGCAGCGATGCCAACAGTGGGAAAAATCGGCAGCGCAGATTTTTTGACGAACATGGGCTGGACGCTGGGCTGTCCAGGCCAGGCAGAAGGGGATGCGCTGACGAAGCAGGGGCTGTTCAGGACACAGCGGGCAGTGCTGGAATCGGCAGCGCCGACGAAATCGGCGAAGTCGTCAGAATCGGCGGCCGGTGCTGACGATGAGTCCGGACGATTTATAGTCCTAGGCTTGACGAAAACGACTGGGGGCCTAGGCTCACGCTGGGGCAGTGGCAGCGATGCCAACAGTGGGAAAAATCGGCAGCGATGCCAACAGTGGGGAAAATCGGCAGCGCAGATTTTTTGACGAACATGGGCTGGACGCTGGGCTGTCCAGGCCAGGCAGAAGGGGATGCGCTGACGAAGCAGGGGCTGTTCAGACACAGCGGGCAGTGCTGGAATCGGCAGCGCCGACGAAATCGGCGAAGTCGGCAGCAGGTGGTGACGATGAGTCTGGATGGACGGACTGCATAGTCCAAGGCTTGACGAAAAAGACTGTTGGTCTAGACACTGGGGCAGTGGCAGCCGTGGGACTGTGTCGCCAGATTCGTCCGCAGCGTTGGCTTATTGGTGCGGTGGGCTTGATGCGAGTGGGGACTGGGGGCAGCGGACAGTGAAAGCAAGAGTTTCCCCCGAGGCTGCCGGGAAAAACGCCGCTCGGGATGGACGGGGTGAGATGACCCGCTGCCCGCAACGGTCATTCAATTCTCTGCCCTATCAACATAACTCCCGATGTGTTGTTCGCTATCTTGGAAGAAGAGATCTCTTCCTCCCCGGGATGGCCGGGTGCGATTACCCGGCGGCGGCGTTCAAATCACTGCCCTATCGGCTACAACTGCTGATGGGGGGATTAGAGGGCCTGCCATGGTGGTGAGGGGAGGCGAAGACCGTGAAAGCAAGAGTTTTTTCCCGGGCTCCTCCGGTGGCCGCGGCATGCGGGCTGCTGGTTTTCCCGCATTCCGCCAATAAAACGTCGTGCTTTCCACATGAAATCAATCCAGTAAAATCAGCCATATTTTTGTGAGGCTGCCAGCCGAATTTGGGGGTCATTCCGGGCCGGTTCCTATTTTGCGTATTTCCTTGATTTTTAATGGTAGGAAAAATAAAAAAAAATACTTCCCCACCCCGAAAAATTCCGGGATTATTTCTGGAGGTGGACTGGATTTTTGCCAACCTATGTGCAAAATTTCAGCTCAAAATACCAAGAAATGAATTTTTTAGAGGGGGGGTGACAGCTGGGACCTAGTAGTGTCTACCCCTGCCAGAGCTGCAATAACACTTATAGCTCTTTAGGGGGGTTGCCCCGACTGGCCATGGGGCGCGGGGGATTTGCGAGCTGCTGCTACGCTCGGACTAACGTGGGGGCCTCACGGCCCGAAGTAACGCCGCCATCGATGACCCGTTTTTTCCGGCCGCGCGACGAACCCGATTCCGGCCACCGTCCCTATAAAAATCACACAAGCGCGCGCTGCGCGCCCGCCCCGCGCCCGCGCTTGGCGCTGGGGCGCTGGGGCACTGGGGGCCTGGGGGCCTGAGGGCCTGGGGCCCTTGGGGGGCCCTTGGGCTCTTGGGCGATTGGGCGCGCGCGCGCGCGGCAATGATTCCCAGGCAGCCATGCTGCGCTGCGCAACGGGGGCTGACGCGGGGACAGCCCCTGCTGGCTTGCTATCTTACCCGCGGGGGGGCTGCCTTCGGGCCCTGGCCCCCCGCGCTCTTGCCTGCCCCCCGCGCGGGAGAGGCTACTAGGTACACGCTGGGGCAGGGGCAGCGGCAGCGGCAGCGATGCCGACAGTGGGAAAAATCGGCAGCGCGGATTTGTGCCGCTGCAGGCCCGTCGCGGAAAATCGGCAGCGCGGATTTGTGAACCTGCAGGCCCGTCGCGGAAAATCGGCAGCGATGCCGACAGTGGGAAAAATCGGCAGCGCGGATTTGTGCAGTTAAAAAGCCCGTCGGGGAAAATCGGCAGCGCGGATTTGTGAACCTGCAGGCCCGTCGCGGAAAATCGGCAGCGATGCCGACAGTGGGAAAAATCGGCAGCGATGCCGACAGTGGGAAAAATCGGCAGCGCGGATTTGTGCCGCTGCAGGCCCGTCGCGGAAAATCGGCAGCGCAGATTTGTTGACGAACACGGGCTGGACGCTGGGCTGGCCAGGCCAGGCAGGAAAATATCAGTCTAGGGGGCAGGCTCACGGCAACGGGGGCTGACGCGGGGACAGCCCCTTGCTGGCTTGCTATCTTTGCCCGCGGGGGGGGCTGCCTTCGGGCACTGGCCCCCCGCGCTCTTGCCGCCCCCCCGCGCGGGAAGAGGACTAGGCGCTGGCAGGGGCCAGCCCGACGTCGCTGGCCGCGGCATGGCGATGACTGGTTTTTCCCGCATTCCGCCTAGAAAACGTCGTGCTTTCCACATGAAATCAATCAGTAAAATCAGCCATATTTTTTGTGAGGCTGCCCAGCCGAATTTGGGGTCATTCCGGCCGGTTCCTATTTTTGCGTATTTCCTGATTTTAATGGTAGGAAAATAATAAAAAAATACTTCCCGACCTCGAAAAAATCTGGGAAAATTATTATAAAGGTGGATTGGATTTTGCCAACCTATGTGCAAAATTTCAGCTCAAAATACCAAGAAATGAATTTTTTAGAGGGGGGGTGACACAGTGGGACTAGTAGTGTCTACCCCTGCCAGAGCTGCAATAACACTTATAGCTCTTTAGGGGGGTGCCCCTGACTGGCCATGGGCGCGCTGGCTGGCGCCCATAGGCCTCAGCGGGGATTTCGTGAAGCTAGCTTCTACACTCCGGACTAACGTGGGGGGGTCTCATGGACCCGAAGTAATGCCCCGCCTCGATTACCCGTTTTCCGGGCCGGCGACGACCCGATTTCCCGGCCACCGTCCCTGTGACCCGCCTCCAAGCCGTTGGCGCGTTGGGGCTTGCTTATCCGCGGCTGCCGGCGCGCACGCACTCTGATTTGCCCAGCGCTCGGTGCCAGCCCCAATAGGCAAGCCCCAAGCGAGCCCAACGGCTTGGGCGCGACGTCACGATTTCCGGCCACCGATCCCTTTGTTGACCCGCTCCAAGCCGTTTGGGCGCGTTGGGACTGATTATTCCGCGGCTTGCGGGCGCGCACGCACTCTGATTTGCCAGCGCTCGTGCAAACCAATAGGCAGCCCCAACGCGCCCAACGGCTTGGCGCGACGTCACGATTCCGGCCACCGTCCCTGTGACCCGCTCCAAGCCGTTGGGCGCGTTGGGCTGCTTATCCGCGGCTGCGGCGCGCACGCACTCTGATTTTCGCCAGCGCTCGTGCCAACCAAATAGGCAGCCCCCAACGCGCCCAACGGCTTTGGCGCGATGTCACGATTCCTTCCACCGTCCCCGGGACCAGCTCCAAGCCGTTGGGCGCGTTGGGGCTGCTTATCCGCGGCGTGGGCGTGGGGCCTTAACAAGCCGCGCTCGTGCCAAGGTGCTGGCAGCTGACGCGCGCCTCTCAGCTTGCCGCGATGTCCCGGTGGCGGTAGGCCGGA